TCGGTTAGGTCCGGCAAGAACGCCAGCTCTTGCGCGTAGTCGGTAAGCTCAATCTCGTTCGCGACGTGCTCCGAAACGTCGTTCACGGTGTCATCACCTTCGCCAGACCCTTCTGCGACCATGGCATGCATGACCGAGATATAGGTCGCCTCCAGTAGCTGCTCGGGGTCGTCGATCGCACTTAGATCCGAATCATGGAATTCAGTGTCGGCGTCAGCGGTGGAGGTTCCGGCTTCAGTAGGAACGTCGTTAGGCCCTGGGTCGTGTTCACCCCAGTCGACTTCGCTACTACACACCGCAGCCGACGTTTCCTCTGGCTCCAGGCTGGACGCAGCGGTCCCTGTTGGCAGGACATCCCATGTAGTTGTCTCGGCCACTGCTACCACGTCACGGTCATCCTCCGAACCGTCGTTCGTCACGCTGTCACCATCGCTCAGCTCATCACTGGCTTCCGATGCCTCAACCGAGGCGTATGTCGCTCCCTGACCGGGGGAGTCAGCACCACTGTTCGGATTCACGGACAGGCAACCCGCTCGGCTAGGCGGCGAGTCTCCGGGTACGTCCGAGTCATACGACGCGCTGGCCTCGTCGTCCGAACCATCGTTCGACCCAGCAGCACGATCCACCTCGGTTGTATCAGCTCGAGCGACATCGACCGAGCCTTCACTGACCCTGGGGTCGTCGTCGTAGCCATGTACATCGGGTGACGAGTACTCATCATCCAACGGAGCTTGTTGACGGCCTTCTGGCCATGGCGGTGCATCCGGTGGCCTCGGCAGGATCTTTCGCGGCGTCGGGTAAGTTCGGCGCTCGACCGCAGGCGGCTGTTCAGCCAACCATTGCTCGTAGAGACGACGTTCTCGTCCTTGCAGAGTCTCATCACGACTCGTCGAATAGGCCAACACCTGCCACTCTTTGTACTTGTTAGAATCCAACCTCGCGTAGCCGGTCTCTCGTGGTAGTTCACCATGCGGTACCCACAGCACCACGGAGTCATGCTTGGCGCACTGTGCCGCTGTGGTCGTAATATTGGTGGCCGTATCCACGTCGGCTACCCCCGTCGAAACCTCGTTACGGTCGACACGAGCTTGCCCGTGCGTCGTACCCACACATCGTACTCCGAACGAGGTAGCCGCTGGCGCGGCAGTCGAAACTCTCGCCACTCGCGACCGGGTACGTATAAATCCTCGATCGGCCCACACGAAGGCTGCGTGCCGTAAGGTTCGTCATCTTCAGCACTCTGCGACTTTAGCAGTGGTACCATGACCTCGTCCGGAAGGCTTGCGGTGCCATGAAATAGATCCAGCCGGATTCCAGCGGGGATCATGAAGTCCATCCCAAGGACCACATCCACCCCGGTACTGTGATCCATTATCCACATTTCAAATTCGTAGACCTGCTCCCACCCGAGGGTGATCTTGACGAGCGCCCGTCGCCGGGTCTCCATCACCCCTGGGTTGATGGCGCGGACTTCGAGACTTTGTCCGTGGTCCCGGACTTCTCGCACACGTAGCCGCTTGGCGAAGCTGGCAGAAATCACGCTAACATTCGCTCCAGTGTCAAGGAGTATCCTCGTTCGCGCGTCGTCCACTGCGCCATTGACCAAAGCCCTCATTCGCTTCCTCTTGTCGTATCGTTGGGACGACCACCACCCCAGTCTCTCACCGGGCAGTAATTTCACCGCCCGAACGAGGTTCCGAGGTGGCCCCCTTATCTGGGCTAGACTTGTGATCAAAGCCTCGGTCGGGTGTCCATCACGTTCATCATCATCATCTTCATCAATACCAATCGCAACGAGACTTGCGTCCCGGTTCTCTCCATTTTCCGTCAGTTTCACACGTTCATTGTTCTTCAGGTCGTCAGGCCGTTTGCTTTCGCCCGTGAACGCGAACAGATAGTCCGCATCAACAGCAGGCTCAGCTAACTGTGGCAGCCGGATTGGGACCAACCCAGTTTCAGTTGGCGGGCTGCCTAGTTTAAATGGCTTCCATACACCAGGCTTTGCAGCTCTGGTGACAGATCCTTCTTGTCGACCTTGGACTTCAGGAGCTTGGTGAGCTCGTGGAGTGACTTCTAAGTTTCGGTCGTCACACGTGACCAAGAAGTGGTCCACGTGGTCCTTCGCGTCACGACCACCGTTTTCAAATTGCACACCGGCGTTGCGAGCGTAGCCGTTGAGCCGGTTGAGCTAGTCACAAACGCGTTCCTTGTCTTCCCGCTTGGCCGAGTAGTACCGAGCCTTCGCAGACTGGGAAAACTTCGAGCAATAGTACTTGATGAACGCCTCGCTCAGCAGCTTCCACGTGCGTCTTGTCTTGCGTGAGAGCTGGCGACACCAGTGCAGGGCTCCATCCCTGAGCTTAAGTTCGAACGGCATACACCACTCGTTGGGTGGTGCATGTGTTCCCTTCATCTCATAGATGAACGTTCGGAGCCACTGCATGGAGTGCTCGCTCTTGTCGCGCGTTCCGTAGAACGGCTTGATGTTGGCGAGAGGCAAATGCGTGGCGATCTCGAGCTTTGGGGTTGAGCTCTGGTTGTCGGTCGCGCTTAGCTCGCGCACCTGACGTGCCCATTCACTCGGTAGGTCCCCTTCGTAGTAGTCGGGCCCGAGGTCGTCGTCGCTGTCCGACGAATCATCTTGGAGGTCGTAACGTCGGCCGGACCGACGACCGGTCGCTCCGCGCGTGCCAGGCGTGGCGAATGAAGCCTCGTTCTCCCTAGCCAGACGTTCACTACGGTCCGTAGACCGTGGAGTTACCATGTGCGAGTCTTGCATGTACGGCGAAGCCTCGCCCTTGACTGCGAAGACTCCGTCATCCGTGGCTGCCTTCCGAGGGGTCGCTGGTAGCGGGACCTTGGAAGGGTCAACCGCTCCCGGGGCCGAACGAAGCTTCGTTGAGCCTCGGTCTGCCACCCCAAAGGCCTCACGTAACTTCTTTCTCCACTTGGTAAGAGCCTTGGCGGCGGTGGTTGGCGTCCAGCTCGCGAGAGCAGCTTCCATCGGGAGGATCAGAGGTTCGCACCCCATCGCCCGCAGGGGGTCCACAGTGTTCTGAACGACCTGCCGAGTGCTCGTTGAGTTGATCGGTGTTGCCAAAGCCCCTCCGAGGTCCATCCAGATGGCCTGGCGGACCTGCTTCGGGGAGAACAACTGCATCCACTCGCTCTTGGTCTTCATGAGCTCCAGGCATCGGCCTAGAACCTTGTTGGCCGCCGGGGTATCGCCGTTGAGGGGAGGACGAGTGCCGACCGGCTTGGAGGTTGCCCCTGCTATCGTCACCGAGGCTCTGAAACCCTCGGTCGCACCGTCATCCGCGTCATAGGCGGGCTCGGTGCCCGGCATGTCGTTGAACGTTTCGGAGAGGTCGCGGGTGATCGACCTCGATCCTCCACTGCGGCCCGCCGACACAACCGCAGCTTCCGAAGTCTCGGACGTCACAGTCCTGACATCCCAGTCATCGTCTTCATCATCTTCCTTGGCGTCCGAGGAATCAATCGCCGTGTCGTAGCTCACCGAGCGCTCGTCGATCGACTCCATCCGATCCGTCGCTGGGGTCGAGAACGAACTCCCGGAGAGCATCGAAGCATCGTTGCGCGTTCCACTCGACTTCACCGGCGTCGCTGGTACCGCTGACTTGACTCCTTTCGCCATCTTCACACGTCTTCTTCTTCTCTTCTCTTCTCTTCTCTTCTCTTCTCTTCTCTTCTCTTCTCTTCTCTTCTCTTCTTCTTCTCCTCTTTGCTCGTTGGGGTAAGACCTACAACAACCCAGACACACCGATGGTCGCACCAATCCCGGGTCGCGGCACCAGTTGTGGTGTGGTAATTCCACTAAAATCCTCCTCTACCAAAAGTAATTGAGACACCAACAACACGCTAACCCGCAAAGGTAAGCGCTTATTGGATCAAAACCTGAAGACCAGGAACGATCCCTTACACCGGGTCGGTTGCAAGCGCCTCTGTGCACCTTAGGTTGTCTTCGGTCAACCCAAAAACCTGTACCACTAGCCACGAGCTAAGGCTAGGATACTATGTAGCGCTTTCGCGCAACCCCACTGCAGTCCCTCAGAAAGGAAGGGTACCGGCATGTTAGGCCTTATACAGGGGGACCAAGATAAAACCTCGGTAGGTAGACTAATACACTCAGGGATACTCTAATCCCACAAATATATACCGAACGATACTCTAATACCGTTCCTGCCTCTCCGGCCACGCCAACTCTTGGCGCTGCCAAGGAAACTCTCGGTCAATGCACGATAAGCTCCCCGACAGGCATCCACACGCAGCCGAGCGTGTCCAGGCACTACAATAAGCTAGCTACACTTACCGAAGTCGGACTTGACCCTTGTTGGCTTTGGGGGAAGAGTGTCTTTTTATTACTGAGTTTTCTGAGGCCCTGGGGGCCTCGTTCTGGCCATCCTATGATGAGTCCTATGTCCCTATACAAATATCTAGTGTGAACGATCGCAATAAGGCGATTCCGGACACATCAAATGACGACCGCGGCTACACTAATAAGTGCGGCCGAAGTACGTAACTAAATGCATCTGTGCCTAAAAGTGGGTACCATGAAGCCTCGTTCGGGGTTCTATTAGGACCCGACGAGGCTTCGGCCACTGCCTGCCACTCTACCGAGGATAATGTCATCATCCAATCAGAAGCAGCCATCTCCGTCTCTCGCTTGACCTCGCCTTGATCGCCCCTTGATTGAACTTGATTGTCGGGCTGGCGGGTCAACAGCGTTGGAAACTGCCACTTTCCAATACCACATTGGCTTGTGACCGAGTCATCGGCGCGGCCATGGTAGGCTCAATGCTCCTTGAACTACTGCTGGAGAAATCTTGGGACCGAAAAGAATCACCGGAAAGCACGTTCTGCGGGGATATCCCGTCCGGATCGATTTTGTAGATCACAGCTTGGCGTTGGTTGAGCTCACAGAGCGCGGCCTTCCTATCGCCACTCAAAACCACCTTCGACGTCTGAGATTCCAACGCTTCAGAAGCTAGCGAGTCCGCGGCAGCATTGTATTCCTGTGCGACGTGAATGTATCTCACAGATCGCAGTCGGGCCTTGACCTCCTCGTGGTAACTCGGTTGAGTCATCGCCCCGGAGTCAGCTGCCCCTAGCGAGTGCAACAACGCCAGCCTTGAATTGCTAACAACGACCAAGTCGTCGGCACCGAGTTGTAAAGCCGCCAGCACGCCGTATGTCATACCGGCGCTCTGGGCAAGGGGGCTCGTCGTGTCGGCGAGGTAAGCGTTCGCGGCAATCATCAATTTCCACTCCGGTAGGCGCCACACAATCCATGCGCAGCTTCCATCTGCACCATACTGCCCAGGCTGTGTCAAGCCCGCGAAAGATACCACGCACCCCGTATGACTCTTCGGAAGCCGTGTCTTTGAGAGGCTTAACGCAGTAGGAGTCGTCGGGAAACTTCCAGTCGGTAGCCACGCGCTGTCATTTGTCGCATCATCCTCGTCCATGTCCAGTACGCTCATCACCGACATAAAGGTATGCTCCGCCATAGTGAGGGGAGTGTGCGCGTCGTAACGGGGGACCAGATGAGTTGTCGGTGCTTCATTGGTCAGGTCACAATGCGGTTTCAAATCCGGAGTGTCTCCGTTTGTCGCCACAGTCGGAAACTGAGTTATCGAGGGTTGATCGGGAGCAATTTCGGCCACTTGTGGATCGGCTGGCGTGTCGTCGGGAGCGACTTGACTGCTTCTGCCCGGTCCCAAGGAGCTTGGTTCCGGATCATTGCCCACTGGCAAGCCGTCAGAATCCTCACCCCCGTCGCTGTCGAACAGCTCCGAGATTTGCTCGCCCCGAGAGTATTCGGGAGGACGTTGGAGCAGTCCGGTTGGAATAGGGTACTCGGGTCGGTCCACTGCCGACGGCTGGCCGGCTAACCATTGAGCGTAAAGCTCGGCTTCCCGCTTGAGCAGCGTCTTATCGCGGGCCGCTTCGTAGGCAAGAATTTGCCATTCTCGATACTTGTCAGAGTCGAGCCGCACATATCCCTCAGACTTCGGCAACGACCCGATTGGTACCCACACCACGATGGTTGTGTGAGCCGAGCAGATCGTGAGCCGAGTGTCAATGTTCGTCAGTCGGATCCGCTGCGGTCGTCCCTTGTGGAACCGCTTCACCGTAGGGATGAGCTTGTCGGTCCATCGGATCCACGGCACGTGAGTCGTCGGGGACGGACGTTTCCGTTGCATTCGGAACTCTTTCCATTCTCGGCCGGGAATCTGGAGCACGTCGACCGGGCCCCCGTTGACGTGGACCCCTTCGGCCTCGTCGACCATGTTCTGCGTCTTGATCAGCGGGATCATTACTTCGTCCGGTAGCTTGGCCGCCGCGTTGAAGAGATCCAGCCGGATGTCAGCCGGGATCATGAAGTCGGTGCCTAGCACCACGTTAACACCGGCATTGTGGTCGATAATCCACATCTCGAAAACATAAACGCGTTCCCATCCGAGCGTGATCTTCACAGACGCCCCCGAGTCGTCGTCGCCTTGCCCTTAGTGATACCCTGGACCTCCATACACCGACCATGACCCGGAATATCCTAGATCCTCAGCTGGTTGGCATACTTCTCAGAAATAACACTGACGTTCGCTCCACTGTCCAGCAAGATCCGCGTCCGCGAGTCGTTGACCGCTCCGTTCACCAGCGTCCTCATACGTACTCGTCGGTCAAATTTCTGCGCCGACCACCATCCCATGCGTTTTCCGGGCAGGAGGCGTACCTCCACGTCGAGTCGTCGGCGCGATGCTTCCTGCACTGCACTTGTCATCCAGTCTTCGGTAGTGTCTTCAATCACTTCGTCATCACTCTTCTCACTCAAATCACCTCCACCGAGGCCTTCGCCTCTCTCCTTTTCGAATTCCGTCGCGTTCACCCATGTACCTCGTCCTTCATCCGGCCATTCGCGCTTGCCCACAAAAGCGTAGATACACTCCGCTTCGACTACAGGCTCGGCTAACTGTGGCAGCCCGATTGGGACCAACCCAGTTTCAGTTGGCGGGCTGCCTAGTTTAAATGTTCCGTGAAGAGGAGGTTCTCGAGCTCAGGAGTGAGGTCCTTCTTGTCCACTTTGTTGCGAACAAGCTTGGTGAGTTCTTGGAAGACCTCGCACCGGCCTGCGTCGTGTACTTGCTTGCATAACTGGCAGCGCCGGTTGCAGAAGTGGGCCGAGTGGGAAAGAACGCCACAGGCCGCGCAAGGACCGTACTGGCGTTGTCGATTGTCGTGACCGCCTCGGCGCTGGTACCGGTTGTCCCGACTGGGTTCCCGGCCACTCTGATCGCGTCGGGGAGGCCGGTTGTCGGACCTGGCTACGTGCCGTCAGCTGCCGCGCATCGCTCACTCTCGTTCGCAGCAGCCACGTAGTGGTCGCTGTCATCCGACGAGTAACCATCGTGTCTGCCTTCTTCGGAGTACCACGAGTCGTCGGAGCCTTGATCGCTGGCGGCGTCGCTGTCATCGTTGAACTGCTGGCGCGCACTGTCGCGTCCGGTCGAGGTGCTCCTGGCGTCCCGTCCTTGCAGCTCAGCGACTATGTCTTCCACAGATGCGTCAGCCAGGGTCACGCGAGGAACGTTCCTGGAGTCGTCGCGACGACGCTCATAATCTCGTTCGCGTCGATCCCCACGGCTGTGGCCAGTTCGCGAGTCATCGCGGCGGTATCCGTCTCGGGTGTCTTGGCGGTGCCGGTCATCTCGGCGACGCGAGTCATACGCGTGTCATCACGTCGGCGGGACGGTTCCCGAGCCTTGGATCGCGACTGCGAAGACTCGCGCGAACTCTGTCGCTCTTCAACCTTCAGCATTTCGATGATCATCTCCTCCAGCTCATGGATGTCCTTGATTCGCAGAGGAGCGAGTCGTCTCTCCAGCTTACGGTCGCCGCAAGTCCCCAGGAAGCGCTTGACGTGGTCCTTCGCCTTGCGGCCGCCGTTCACGAACTGGACGCCTGCGTTGCGGGCGTAGCCGTTGAGTCGGTTCAGGTAGTCGCAGACGTGCTCCTTGTCGTCGCGCTTGGCAGAGTAGTATCGGGTTTCCGCTGACTGGCTGAACTGGGAGCAGTAGTAGCGGATGAAGGCTTCGCTCAGCAGAGTCCAGGTTCGCTTGGTCTTCTTGGTCAATTGTCGGTGCCAGTGTACCGCACCGTCTCTCAGGCGGAGCTCGAAGGGCATGCACCATTCATTGGGCGGCGCGTGTGTACCTTTCATCTCGTACACAAAAGCGCGCAGCCACTGCATCGAGTTCTCGCTCCTGTTGCGAGCGCCCGAGAACGTCGGGATCTGCCCCAGCGTCGGTGCATCGCTACCTCGAGCCTCGGCGTCGGGTTCACGGTCTCTGCGTCGCTCACCTCCCGGATCTGTCGCAGATATTCGTCCATTTGCGCACCTCCGTCTCCCGTGAAGTCATCGTCGTCATCAGATGAGTCGTCGGCGTAGCGGGACTTGCGACTTGAGCTTCGTCCGGTGCTTCGTAGACTGCTCCTGGTCAATTTCGAGTCTTCGGCACCACGCGCAACTCGGTCAGTACGAGTCGTCGCGGGTGGAGTGACCATATGGGAGTCTTGAAAGTACGGCGATCGCTCGCCCGACGCACTGAACACTCCTCTAGTCGCAGCCTGGGCTGAGTTACTGCGCTCGGTCTTCTTCGGAGTTCGCGGGAGCGGGACGCGCGCTGGGTCAGCGCTGCCTTTGTTGGTGCGGGCCGCCTTCGGCTGTTCCAAAGAGAAGGGGGTCACCCCGAAGGCCGTACACAACTTCTTCTTCCATTGCCAGAGCTCGGCTCTGGCTTCCGCGGGCAGGAAACTCTCCAGAGTCGACGGCGACGGGGCAAGCGTGGGCCGGAGACACAACGCCTTCAGGAACGTCACCGTGTCCTTCGCCACTTGCTCAACTGCGACCGCATTCACTGGTCGTGCCAACTCGTGGCTCAGGTCAGCCCACACCGCTTGGCGGATCATGCGCGGCTCGAAGAGTCGACCCCATTCGCTCGCACGCATTGCTTCAAAGCATCGGCCGAGTACCTTGTTGGCTGCCGGAGTGTCTCCATTCATCGGCGGCCGGTTGCCCGAGGTTTGCTCGGTCACTTGAGTCGTCGGCACCGGCGATCGTGAGTCGTCGGCGCGGTCTTCAAACTCTTCCATGTCATCATACGCTGGCTCAGGGTCGTCCACATCATCCAGTTCGTCCGCGAGGTTGCGCGAGACGGGAGGCGTGTCGTCTTCCAACTCGCTCGCGAGACTGCGCGCCAGGGAGCGCGAGCCCCCGCTGCGCCCCGCGGACATCACTGCATCTTCCGGAGTCTCGGGTGTCACCACCGCTGGCGCAGGCGCCTTCTCCTCCAGGTAGTCGCCGTATTCTTCATCCATCTCTTCATCTTTGGCGTCGGATCCAGTCATCGGCTCGTCGAAGCTGACGTTGCGCTCAGCAATCGGGTCGGGCTGCGGTGTGATCAAGACCGCCGTCGAGTCGTTGTCACCACCCGACTCTTCAGAACTCTCTTGAAGGCTCGGACGGCCTCCCGATGACTCGAAGAGTCGCCTTAGGTGCGGAACCCAGGCCAAAGTTCGCCGTAGGTTCGAGTCGTCCTTGAAGTCCCGGTGTTGTGTGGACACACCACGGCTTGAGCTTGAGTGTCGACGAGTCGTCGTCATTGGTCCAGACTGGCCAATCCGCGGCCGTCGAACGCCATCGAACGAATGGCGATGTGCCTCGATCCGCCAGTTGAGTCGACGCCGAATGCCGCGGGGCTTGCCGTGAGCTTCACTCAACTTTCTCGACACCACATGATCGACAAGGGCTGCTGCATGCGGCGGCGTAATCGCCACCCCTCCGACCTTGAAATCGACGTGAGCGTGATGTACGTCCATCGCAAATTAAGCTTGTGCAAGTGCTTCTAAAACCTACCAAGAATGACGCCAAAGATGAAGAGATGGATGAAGAATACGGCGACTACCTGGAGGAGAAGGCGCCTGCGCCAGCGGTGGTGACACCCGAGACTCCGGAAGATGCAGTGATGTCCGCGGGGCGCAGCGGGGGCTCGCGCTCCCTGGCGCGCAGTCTCGCGAGCGAGTTGGAAGACGACACGCCTCCCGTCTCGCGCAACCTCGCGGACGAACTGGATGATGTGGACGACCCTGAGCCAGCGTATGATGACATGGAAGAGTTTGAAGACCGCGCCGACGACTCACGATCGCCGGTGCCGACGACTCAAGTGACCGAGCAAACCTCGGGCAACCGGCCGCCGATGAATGGAGACACTCCGGCAGCCAACAAGGTACTCGGCCGATGCTTTGAAGCAATGCGTGCGAGCGAATGGGGTCGACTCTTCGAGCCGCGCATGATCCGCCAAGCGGTGTGGGCTGACCTGAGCCACGAGTTGGCACGACCAGTGAATGCGGTCGCAGTTGAGCAAGTGGCGAAGGACACGGTGACGTTCCTGAAGGCGTTGTGTCTCCGGCCCACGCTTGCCCCGTCGCCGTCGACTCTGGAGAGTTTCCTGCCCGCGGAAGCCAGAGCCGAGCTCTGGCAATGGAAGAAGAAGTTGTATACGGCCTTCGGGGTGACCCCCTTCTCTTTGGAACAGCCGAAGGCGGCCCGCACCAACAAAGGCAGCGCTGACCCAGCGCGCGTCCCGCTCCCGCGAACTCCGAAGAAGACCGAGCGCAGTAACTCAGCCCAGGCTGCGACTAGAGGAGTGTTCAGTGCGTCGGGCGAGCGATCACCGTACTTTCAAGACTCCCATATGGTCACTCCACCCGCGACGACTCGTACTGACCGAGTTGCGCGTGGTGCCGAAGACTCGAAATTGACCAGGAGCAGTCTACGAAGCACCGGACGAAGCTCAAGTCGCAAGTCCCGCTACGCCGACGACTCATCTGATGACGACGATGACTTCACGGGAGACGGAGGTGCGCAAATGGACGAATATCTGCGACAGATCCGGGAGGTGAGCGACGCAGAGACCGTGAACCCGACGCCGAGGCTCGAGGTAGCGATGCACCGACGCTGGGGCAGATCCCGACGTTCTCGGGCGCTCGCAACAGGAGCGAGAACTCGATGCAGTGGCTGCGCGCTTTTGTGTACGAGATGAAAGGTACACACGCGCCGCCCAATGAATGGTGCATGCCCTTCGAGCTCCGCCTGAGAGACGGTGCGGTACACTGGCACCGACAATTGACCAAGAAGACCAAGCGAACCTGGACTCTGCTGAGCGAAGCCTTCATCCGCTACTACTGCTCCCAGTTCAGCCAGTCAGCGGAAACCCGATACTACTCTGCCAAGCGCGACGACAAGGAGCACGTCTGCGACTACCTGAACCGACTCAACGGCTACGCCCGCAACGCAGGCGTCCAGTTCGTGAACGGCGGCCGCAAGGCGAAGGACCACGTCAAGCGCTTCCTGGGGACTTGCGGCGACCGTAAGCTGGAGAGACGACTCGCTCCTCTGCGAATCAAGGACATCCATGAGCTGGAGGAGATGATCATCGAAATGCTGAAGGTTGAAGAGCGACAGAGTTCGCGCGAGTCTTCGCAGTCGCGATCCAAGGCTCGGGAACCGTCCCGCCGACGTGATGACACGCGTATGACTCGCGTCGCCGAGATGACCGGCACCGCCAAGACACCCGAGACGGATACCGCCGCGATGACTCGCGAACTGGCCACAGCCGTGGGGATCGACGCGAACGAGATTATGAGCGTCGTCGCGACGACTCCAGGAACGTTCCTCGCGTGACCCTGGCTGACGCATCTGTGGAAGACATAGTCGCTGAGCTGCAAGGACGGGACGCCAGGAGCACCTCGACCGGACGCGACAGTGCGCGCCAGCAGTTCAACGATGACAGCGACGCCGCCAGCGATCAAGGCTCCGACGACTCGTGGTACTCCGAAGAAGGCAGACACGATGGTTACTCGTCGGATGACAGCGACCACTACGTGGCTGCTGCGAACGAGAGTGAGCGATGCGCGGCAGCTGACGGCACGTAGCCAGGTCCGACAACCGGCCTCCCCGACGCGATCAGAGTGGCCGGGAACCCAGTCGGGACAACCGGTACCAGCGCCGAGGCGGTCACGACAATCGACAACGCCAGTACGGTCCTTGCGCGGCCTGTGGCGTTCTTTCCCACTCGGCCCACTTCTGCAACCGGCGCTGCCAGTTATGCAAGCAAGTACACGACGCAGGCCGGTGCGAGGTCTTCCAAGAACTCACCAAGCTTGTTCGCAACAAAGTGGACAAGAAGGACCTCACTCCTGAGCTCGAGAACCTCCTCTTCACGGAACATTTAAACTAGGCAGCCCGCCAACTGAAACTGGGTTGGTCCCAATCGGGCTGCCACAGTTAGCCGAGCCTGTAGTCGAAGCGGAGTGTATCTACGCTTTTGTGGGCAAGCGCGAATGGCCGGATGAAGGACGAGGTACATGGGTGAACGCGACGGAATTCGAAAAGGAGAGAGGCGAAGGCCTCGGTGGAGGTGATTTGAGTGAGAAGAGTGATGACGAAGTGATTGAAGACACTACCGAAGACTGGATGACAAGTGCAGTGCAGGAAGCATCGCGCCGACGACTCGACGTGGAGGTACGCCTCCTGCCCGGAAAACGCATGGGATGGTGGTCGGCGCAGAAATTTGACCGACGAGTACGTATGAGGACGCTGGTGAACGGAGGGTCAACGACTCGCGGACGCGGATCTTGCTGGACAGTGGAGCGAACGTCAGTGTTATTTCTGAGAAGTATGCCAACCAGCTGAGGATCTAGGATATTCCGGGTCATGGTCGGTGTATGGAGGTCCAGGGTATCACTAAGGGCAAGGCGACGACGACTCGGGGGCGTCTGTGAAGATCACGCTCGGATGGGAACGCGTTTATGTTTTCGAGATGTGGATTATCGACCACAATGCCGGTGTTAACGTGGTGCTAGGCACCGACTTCATGATCCCGGCTGACATCCGGCTGGATCTCTTCAACGCGGCGGCCAAGCTACCGGACGAAGTAATGATCCCGCTGATCAAGACGCAGAACATGGTCGACGAGGCCGAAGGGGTCCACGTCAACGGGGGCCCGGTCGACGTGCTCCAGATTCCCGGCCGAGAATGGAAAGAGTTCCGAATGCAACGGAAACGTCCGTCCCCGACGACTCACGTGCCGTGGATCCGATGGACCGACAAGCTCATCCCTACGGTGAAGCGGTTCCACAAGGGACGACCGCAGCGGATCCGACTGACGAACATTGACACTCGGCTCACGATCTGCTCGGCTCACACAACCATCGTGGTGTGGGTACCAATCGGGTCGTTGCCGAAGTCTGAGGGATATGTGCGGCTCGACTCTGACAAGTATAGGGAATGGCAAGTCCTTATCTACGAGGCCGCCCGCGATAAGACGCTGCTCAAGTGGGAAGCCGAGCTTTACGCTCAATGGTTAGCTGCCCAGCCGTCGGCAGTGGATCGACCCGAGTATCCCACTCCAAAAGGGCTGCTCCGACAGCCTCCCGAAGACTCTCAAGACGAGCACAGCTCGGAGTCGTCCGACAGTGATGGAGGTAAAGATTCTGACGGCTTGCCAGTGGGCAATGATCCAGAATCCGCACCAAAAGAAGTTGCGCAACGGATAGTTGCAGCCGTCGACGACTCGACAGGGGTGACCCTCAATACTCGAGTGCAAGCAGCTACCTTGGAGACGTCTGAGCGCCCTGCTGTCGTCGGGAACCGGCTTGGACGAACCTACGGAGTCAAAGAGTGCTGAGGATGAAGTCCCGACGACTCAATCCTGCTCGAACTCGGATATCGAGGCCGGTTTGACACGACTCGAGCAGACGTTCATGTGTGTCTTGCGGGTCTTGAGCACAGAAGGTACAGAGACCGCGAATGACGACGCCGCTGACTCGTTCGAGCATCTCGCGGCTGGTATTGGGTTGGAAGACTACGCGCACGGGCTGGCGTTCCCTCCTGACTTGTCCGAAGCTGCTACGACCACTCTGGACTACGACGCAGACAATGTGCGGAATCC